GGGCCCCCCACCAAGCCCTCCATACCCTTGCCCGAAATAGAGCTAGATTATGCAAAAGCTACTTCGGAGAATCCCACACTTGGCTCGTACATCGGCTGGCCTGTGCCGGTCATAGCATAAGCAAAATCGCTTGTGACTTCTAGGCGACTCGCAACAGAAGTCGAGTGCATAGCGTGTCCCGACAGGAGATTGGTCCAATACTCCCCACCCTTTCATCTTTACTCTCTGATTGGAAAACCTGCTATGTGGAATAGAACATGAGCAACAAGAGCGCCTCCTGTCTCTCATACCGCATCAGAAATCCCCAAAAAATCAGGCTGTATGTGGTGGGCGGAGCTGTCCGGTAGGTGGGCGGAGCAACCCGTTAGCCGCGAAGAGTCATGGCACCTGTCGGTCAGTCAAAGGAGCGAGCGTGGAAAGAACAATTGCTGGAAATGATAGCGATAAAAAACATATTGAAAGGGGTTGGGAGTTCCGAATAGTGTCTTGTCGATCCAGGATCGATAAAATGTGCTTTGCGCAAGGAGCAGTAGTATTAACAGTAAGCATTCAAAAATGCGCCTCGAACGACCCTGCTTTTACCTGCAGACCCCGCCCATCTCAGAGACTCCGCCCCTCGACTAGGTCTCAATGTTTATCCTCCTCTTTCATGAAGCGATTGCAGGGATTAGCAAATGAAGTAGAGCATATAAAAATGAAAGACATGCAAAAAATTCAAAAACCCCGGGAGGCTGCTTCTAGTTCCCTGAAGTGGCTGATCGAACAGAATGGCGTGAACATTTTGTGGTCTGGAACTGTGTGGACTTCACGCCACAATCTACACGAGGACAGGCGCGTAGATAAGTAACCATAACCATGCTCATTGGCCCGCCTCTTTTTACCTCCTCAATGCTGGGAGGCGGAGCAGACCAATCAGGGAGGCATCGTGGTTTTCCGACTCCACCCCTACCACGAGCGTGGACTGCAAGTTCTATGCAATGGTGATAGGTGCTTGAGGTTTGTGTAGTGGTACTTGCGCTGTTTTAAAGACCAAATCACAAAAAGGGGTGCACTAGCAGCATCCAAACAATAAGCAAATAGAGCGTATCATTACCACGCTACCAATATTGCTGGTATTTGGTAGGATAAACTTTCTTTTCAGGTAACCCACAAAATCGACGAAGACAAGTGCAAAAAGTCTGAAAGTGGCGACACCATCCACCAACAATACGTCCTTCATCTCGAGGATGGCACTTTTGTCGATTCTTCGTTCTCTCGCAATGCTCCATTCATTTTCCGACTCAACAAAGGGGTACTGTAGGTCTTACATGGTTACTATATCTAGTGCTCAAAAATAATTTTAGGAAGTCATCAAGGGAATGGATATCGCAATGACTGGAATGTGCGAGGGTGAGAGACGCATGGTGATCATTCCATACGAGTACGGTACGTTGGAGGGCGAGAGCAAGTGTCAATGCCGCAGCGTTGTGTCATGTTCTCGATTTCAAAACGAGCGGAGTGTAATCGCGACGCATGCGAACCAAATTGGTGGCTCCATCGGCTAATGTCATGTTGACGTAGGTTGCTTTAGAGAGAGAATTCTCCACTGTCAAAAAATTGAATAGGAAGCGGTGAAGCAGGGCTCGGTGGCTGTTCAAGTGACTTAGCAACAGAGTGCAACTTCGGATCGCGGTGTGGTTGCGAAAGTGCGCGACGTGGAATGTGGTTCGAGGTCGTAAAGATATGTAACGTGGCCTGCGTTCATAGTAAAGCATCCGTAACACCGACTCATTATGATCTAGGATACGGGTTGAGGGACGACCACCACAGATTTCCTGGAAAATGCTAGACGCTTAGCTGTTCGATATACGTCTCGAAAAACTGAAGTAGAAGAGAGGATGAAGTGATGAGCCGATAGTCTGCGAGCGACCTCAGCGAGTCCGTTTTTGATGCTCTGTGGATGCTGCGCTCGGCCGGTCTTGCCCATCCGACGATATAGCGTGGCCGGTTAGCTTCGTCGGAGCGTACGGAACTGCAAGTATGATTTCGGTTCATTATTGTGTTTCCATGTCAGATAGATTCTGCCTTAGTCTGTCGTTACGGGCTGTTGCGTATGGGTTATTTCGCTAGGAAGAACTGCTCCAAATCAGGTTGGTGCTCTCTGTCGAGTGAGGCGGGACGAGCGGGCAGACGGTGGGAGCAGTGCCACATACAGCACCGCCGCAAGTCAGATCTCCTGACCGCCAGTGCCTAGACCTGACTATTTCGTAGGAGCGGTATTCCTCCATGGGTTACCAGCGTGTCTGCATGACAAGACATGACCACAACTGTCCTGAAAAGGAGACCTCCCACCAAAGGCATTCCCACCAGAACCACAGTATCCGCCACAATCACATGAAGCAATTAGTTACACCTTCCTCATCCGGGCTATGGAATGTTCACACAGAAGTTCATACCACGTTGAGCAGTCAAATTCACGGCCCACGTAGATAGCAAGGGCGGAGACGAGCCCAGCCCCACCATTGCACACTCTCATTGTCTCTTACTTGCGTGACAAAGAGGAGCTCATCAATGTATAAGGTGGGTGCAGCTCGGTCCATTGACGAGTGGGAAGAGCTCTGCTGGTTTGCTTCCCATCTTCCGCCGCTGCTTTGGTGCTAAGGTGACGTTCAGCAAGAGAGATGCAAGATGCAGTTCGGCTTAGTGTGGGCATTTTGCTGGTTCCCATCGCTCACTTCCGATGTATCTTGTGGAAACCGCGACGTTCTGTGGAGCTATGCAACAGCATGAGCCTTGTTCACACTTGGCAAGAGTCGACAGGGCTCACCAAGGTTAGCCGTGTAAGTTAACGGGATCTAGCAGCAAGAACTTGCGAAAGCGCAGAATGTTCCTCCCAAGCCGTACAGCGCCGAGATATAAAGTAGGGGAAGTTTCGAGAATAGCTTACGGATGGAGTTCGGAACCCACGCTGCGCGTATACGGAGGCACCACACCTCTTTCATTGATGCGCTCCCTTCTTCTATCGTCTTGACCTGACTCACTCCACCCACACGATCAGCGCGGGCAGTGCTGTGAGTTGATTCAAGTTTTTGCAGGACATTATTCGCAAGGAGCGTAGCAATATAGTTTTTGAGGTAGTCTAAAACTACAGTGCGAATAGTGCGGGGCAACAACTTTCGAAATGGGGTCCGTCCGCACATAAAAGACCTCAAAGAGCAAAAGTTGATGAAAATCGAAGAGAAAATGCAAAAGCTATCTGAAGCCTGGAGGTGACGTTAAAGGCGAAAGCCCTGAACCCCGAAAATCTAGTTTAGGAATCCATTTTGAGAGGCAGATACCATTCAAATGCCATCACGACTCTGAACAAAGGTCAAAAGCATGGCGTGCCCTACATGAGGTCGATAAATTCAATTACTTCAACTGGGTTCATTGGTGCAAACGCGAAACATTTGCGTAGTGCGAGTTTTCATGCTGGAGTTCCTCCCACATTCAGGGACCAGGAGAAAGAAATTAGATAAAGGACTAGAGCGAAGGCAAAAAGTCCAAATAGGTTCTGAGGATACGATCTCCTGAAGGCTTTATTCCCCCGGTGTTGACCAGCATCTGTTCAGACTTCCACAGCGAACCATGAGCTTCAAGTTTCACCTATCTCAGGCAGGGCACGCCATCTTTGTGATCATCACAACAGGGGGGTCGTATTTGCCCGCGATGGAGGGGGGGGGTCGTAAACGCATGGCCCATGTTGAAGTGGAGAGAGCGGCGGTGATACACGGTACAAGTAAAAAGAAGCTCAAAAGGGACGATGTAGATGACAATAAATAGAACTAGGCACTATCGAACTATTCCTAGGCCGAAAACTAAAAAAAAATATATTGCTGAAACTTTTTCCTCCTTCCTCACAAAAAACTTCAAGACGCTTCTCCCACCATCCCTCCTCACTATGGTCTAGGAGTAAAGATCGCCGAATCCACTAATCGCGCAAAATCTGAGAAAGAAAGGCCATCTGCAAAAAGCAGCCTTGAAAACCGTTAAAGAAACTGAAATGCCTGAGGCATTCCTCAAACAAACAAAAAAACAATACTCAACAAAACCAAGTCAAAACTCAACAAAAGCAAACAATTAAAGTAATTCACAATAAAATGGATAAGAAAAAACTCACCGCTCAGCTGGGAACCGGAACTATGGATTACTTTTGAATTTTGGCTGTTCGCGGTCAGCGCGCTCATACAAGCGCATTGGTGCGCGCTATTTTACGGTTTGGAGCCAATTTCAAGCCAAACACGTGAAAAGTACCCTCATTTGAACACCCATAACTTCGTTGAAAGTGAAGCTATCGGAGAGGGGTAAGTGGGAATGAGTAGAGCTAGGTTGGCTCTTATCACCTGAATTGAGCGATTTCAAAAACGTTCCGGTTCCCAGAGATTTTCCCGTTGTGATCATCTTTGTGATCCATCTGTGATCATTTTTGCGAACCCCGAGTCGCTACGCTTTGGACGTCCATGGCAAGCTTCATACACGGCCTTTCGTAAAAAAAGAATTGTGCCGGAAGCTTGAAGATTTCTACTTTCCAGCAAGGTTTTAATTTCCTTCCTAGACCTACTATTCGAAAAAATTCCCCGTTGTGATCATTTTGTAATCACCCCCCACGACACCGAAAAATCAACCCCTCCGAGGCCAGGAAACCTCCAGTTGGCTCGAAGACTTTGGTATGCTTCTGAAACACATGTTTTCGTCAAGCATATCAGGTAATAGGCCATTGGGCGCCAATTGGCATCACCTCTGCAAATGCCGCCATGCATGGGGCTTTCACGCAGGTGTTTGAAGGTGTAACTTCTAGATAGGGCTTCCCAATTGCAAGCAAATGTGCTCCTACGATCAGAAAAGTCCGGGAATGTACTTTCATCTGTTTATTAATCGTCACGTCGTGAGTCCTCTTGTTGTTATAAAGAATTCATGGGGCCCTTGTGGGCGGTGATCGTAGCTCCTATCATCGCCCCTTCCTCGTACGTATTGTCAGTATGCTACACCAGCGCCAGAGTGCTGGACGTGCTTGGGACGTACGTAGGTACTGCGACCCCCCCCCGCTCGACAGCAAAATTTTGTAAAAAAAAACTAGAAACTTTTTGGGAAAAATAGACAAAGTGATAGGAGGTTGGAAAAATTCAGGGAAGAGGTAACGTGTGGGGAGGGGGGGGGGTCGTACTTGAAGATGGAATTAGGGGGGGTCGTATTTTTCAGGAAATGATCACAACGCAATGGCGTGCCCTGCCTCAGGAGACTCTGAACCAGTGAGGTTACTTCTTGAGCTGATAGTGATCAAAATAGGTATAATTGCATATGACAGCTTTGGTTTTCATTGTTTTCACTGTTCACTTAATAAGTGATAGTCAAATAAAGTTTGTAACGCGATATATATTAATCAAACATCCATTCGACACTGATTAAGTCCTTATGCCCCTATAGGGCTAGTACACGACGGCCTCTACCCATTTGGACCTACTTCTGACATGGCCAGTTTTGGTGCCATGGTCCATAAAATGATTTCTTGAGATCATACCATGTATCACATTCGTTGTATCAGGGGGGGAAGGGCAAAAAAAAAACACTGTTGTCGATGGCTACATACAGTCCTCATCATACGGACCGATGGGGCGTGTCAGTTGGCGTTTGCGCGGTGCCAAGTCGTTCTGGCATGTCAGTTGGTTGAAAGCGGGCGAAGTGACATTACTGTATTATATCCTTCGTATTACTCGTTTTCTACCACTTTTTGTCGCATACGCGTTTCAAGCAAAAAGGCTGAGAACGGCTTCAACAGTGTGCACACTCATACTGGCTGACACGCCCCACCGGTCCGCAATGATGAGACTGTATCTGTAAAGAATGCGCAGCCCAGAGAGAATCGTCCATCACCTTCGTGTACACCAAAAGATGAAGCCATCTGCAATTGCAGCCGAACTGAAGAAGACCTATGTATGGAGTCACCCATGGACAGCTACCTGGGGAGCAGCACCCTTGATCTGGAAGACTGTCGAGCAGCTCCGACAACGTCTCTATAGTCAGGAAATCATCTTCTCTGCAGGCGCCATGGCACGGGTTGATGGTATGGACCGGAAGTTCCTGGAATAGAAAGACCAATATTTTCTTCGTGGACCCGGACTGAAAGTGAACGCTGTGTTACATCGAACAGCTCGAGGAGAATATCCTGCCTTCATGTCGTCGCCTGTACCATCTTGGAAACTTCGTACTGCTACAGGATTGGGTGCCAGCACATGGAATCGAAAAACTCTCGCCTACTTGGAATCGAAGGGCGTTGAGTACCTGAAGAAGACGGAATATCCAAGTGTGTCACCTGACCTAAACCCCTCGATTACCGGGTCCGGGAAGAGCTCAACAGGGTGGTCTGCAGTAGCGGAGAGACCAACGACCTCGCTGACGTCAGGCACAGAATCTCTCGATAGCGTTCGTCCAGAAGGCTGTGGCGGAGTTTAGTGATAGTGTAGTGTGTTGTTGAAGTTGATAATGGGAATGTCCATTCAAAAGCCAATAAAGTGTAACTTACTTCGCC